CTTTACAGTCGCAGCCGCCCCACTGTGGCATCAGGTGTTCCCAGAGGTTAAATGTCTTGCCAAGGACACATCGACAGCAGACATCAGTGGTGGGAGAAGGTCTTGTGGTGGGCTCGAACCCACAGACTCCAAGCTCAAAGGCCAAGGCCAAAATATATTTAGAAAATACTGAGGAAAGAGTTGTGCCGTGGGAGAGAGGTGTAGGGTCAGAGATTGTCTTGGCCTTTGTGTGTCTTTGTGCATGAGTGTGTGTGTGTGTGTGTGTGTGTTGCTCCCAAATGCTTGAGGTCTAAATAAAATAAAACAAAAACACACCAAACATACATTAATAAATTATAATTTCTATAGAAGCATCTCAACTTCAAGATTTTGAAAAAAAGGTGGGGTACATGTGGTTTATTGACATCAAAAGTAAATGATGTCATCAACCAGCAACTTATACAAGTGTGTATAAAAAGGTCTGTTTAGGTGAATGACAGACGCAAATCCAACATGTTCAATTTTTAACAACCTTTGGCGCTTGAACACAGCAGTGGCTATAGCTGCTCCGCATGGTTCTGTTTGGGAAACCGATTTGACAGAACAAGTCCAAAAGGAGTGTGATCCAGGATGAGACATGGTGCACTACCTCAACTCTGGTTCAAACTATCAGAGAAGAAAAACAAAGAACTTTTCAACAGAAAGAACAGAGAAAATGAATCTTCTGTGGTTGAAAACAGAACCAAACCTCCTGTTCTCCATCCATTAATATTTTGTATTTGCATGTGACAAATAAAACTGATTGAAATGTGTAACTGAACTTTATTACTAATACTTATAAGTATACTTAAATTCAACTCTATTTTTACTTGTGTAGCCCTAAATCACCACAGTAGTTATCTCAAAGGAATTGAAAAAACAAAACATTTGGCAACGCAGATCAAGGAATCAAACAGTTCAAACACAAGAAATGCAATGATAAATAAATGAGATGAAGAGATGAAAAAATCTCTTCATCTTAAGATTCTTTCCCAAATGTTTCCCCTTTCTGACTAGTTTTTGTTGGGTTAATGGGCATGTTATATTCCATAACATGTAGACAAACTTATTTGCCAATTAACATAAAAACATAGAACGTCTGGTTTTATGTGGGGCGGCTGTATGTGTACTGGGTGCAGCTCTCACTGTCAACCCCCCCGACCCAGAAATGGATTAAGGACACTGTCAATACTGCAGGGCCTGAAACCAGGGTTGATCAGCTACCGTGGATTTTTATATCAAAATGCTTTCTAGCTCAGATCAGGCAGGGGCTCACTACGTTACAAACATACAGTAAATCACACCCTGAAGCTGCTATGGGCCTTTCTTTCCCATTCAAAGTATTAAGGAGCGTTCACACCGGATCATGTGTTGCTGATACAGTGATATAATCCTCCTCCACTGACCACAGTGCAGGAGGGTCAGTGGAGGCCGTAGTCAGTCTCAGCGGCAGTCTGAGCGTAGTCAGGATGAGCGACCTGTCCGTTCGATCAGGATAGCCACGCCTACTCAGGAAGAAACATCAGCTGATAAATGACACGTCACCAAGGAAACAGTTCTGACGATGGCTCACTGCTCTGCAGCCGAAACATGTTAACAAGGTTAACATTTCAACCAGCCGTTGTCTTTCAACAAGAACCTAAACAGTAAAAAGACTAAATGTTGCTGCAATGAATGTTGCCATGTTGAATGTGTTTGTCGTTCAGCCTGAAGAGTAGGGTTCAGTGGCAGCATTAGTACATGAAGTTATTAGTAATTTACCAGCAAGACCTTTTGAGTTCGAGAGAACTTCTGTCACCTTTTTCATAAGAAACAGCTTGGTGTTTTCAATTTGTTTTGAGTATTTTCTGGCAAATGAGCCAGAACAAGTATTTTAGCAAATGACCTTAAGTGGCATATTTAGTCAAGTATTTCTTTCTGTGGACTTAATAGGTGGTGGAAAATCCGGGCGCTTACACTCAATCACCTGGCCGTATGATGTCATGCCTCAAATCCAGCTAAATGATTGGGCCAGTGCTCTGCTGAGTTTTGCCACCACGTAACATATTTTGGAGGTGCGGTAGTGACAAGTATGCTGGAGAGACCCACCCCCACACCCTATTTGAAATTGTAAAATTGAAGCAGACCATGCAGGAGCTGTGCTGGGCGTGCCACAGAACAGGCAGCCCTTAAGTTCTGCACGGAACATCATAAAGCATTCATAGAGCTAGTGTGCATGCTCTGGAGAAGGTCATTGCGACAAGAGATGATTAATGTTTGAATGAAACCACAATATTAAGCCGTTTCATTAGAAAATATCACTATTAGTAAAGGCTGTATTAGCAAAAAAAATGTAATGAGAATGACAATTCCGATTGTGGTTGGGAGACTGTTGGTATCAACACTTTGTCTTGTGTTAAACTGTAAGTGTGCCTTTGGGCCAGACATCCCACCTGCCTTGCTTAAAAATGTTAACACCAAATAAGCATGGCTAGATGTAAAAATGGTTTCATAGAAATCAACATTAAAAGCATTGCTATGTTTGGATGCAATAACTTTCCTGAGCAAAAAAAACAAGTAAACAAAAAAAGAGCATCAGATTAGTGACTTGTCAAGACACGGGACGATTCTGACCCAAATGAAGTCAGAATGCTGCCCAATAAACACTAGAAAGTATCAATAAACAGTATTAATTAATTAGTATCAAGAGAAGGGCTTTAAGAAACAAAAAAGTAATCAAAACGATTTGATTACTTTTTGACAGTAGCTCAGTTGGTAGAGCATTGGCCTTTGAGCTTGAAGGTTGTGGGTTTGAGTCCACCACAAGACTTTATCCAACATCTCCTTCTGTCTGCTGCCGTTGTGTCCTTGGCAAGACACTTAACCTCTGGGAACACCAGATGCCACAGTGGGGCGGCTGTGGCTGTAAAGTGCCAAACTGCCGTTGTGTCCTTAGGCAAGACACTTCACCCCCATTGCCTAGAATGAGTCTGGTGTGTGTGTGAGTGGTTGGTGGTGATCGGAGGGGCCGATGGCACAGACTGGTTGCCTCGCTTCTGTCAGTGTGCCCCAGGGCAGCTGTGGCTACAGTAGTAGTTTATCACCACCGTGTATGGAGTGAAAGAATAATGACCTGTAAAGCGTCTTTGAGTGTCCAAAAAAAGCGCTATATAAAACCGATGCATTATTATTATTTCATTATTTCAAAGGCCTTGTCCGATGGCTTCCAATATAAGGGGAACGTAACGAGGGGATTCCATTTTGTGTGTTGTACGCTACAGTGGAGCGGAGCCATCAAGATCTGAGGTTCTACACATGAATCAGGCTGTGTGGCCTTTTGCTGGCTAACCTTTTTTTCCCCTGTTAAACTATAGTATAATATTTTTTGCTCATTTAAGATCAAACGGTGCAACTGTATATCTGTAAAATTATGTACAGATGAAGTTCTTAGATTTACAATATGCAGGACTATCCATACATAAATTATCTCAAATGCCCAAAATTGTACGAAATGTGACACTAGAGAGAAGCTTCATAAATCTTTTCATTGAACCTCTGTCACACCACATGCTTGGCTGTCCTCCAGGTGATGATGATGACGTCCAGGCCTTGACCTTGACACAACGCTTGGGACCACCCCACACAGCTTCACACTTGTTTCCTCCTCTTCCTGTCTCTATGTAGGCCCTATACGTGTCCACAGAGTGTGTTTTGTCTGCACTATATTTACAGTAGATTTGACCAGCGCTGAGCCCAAACGGACGCCTAATTGGAACAAGGTGGAAGTGTTACCACCCCTTTCAGCATGAATGACTTAAAATCACACTGGGAAGTTTCACATTCAGGCAAATGGAGATAAATCCTCACTAGTAGCAACATACTGTTATGAAATATCTTAAAATGCAAATAACTGTCATTAAAGTATTTATTGAAACAAAACACATGTCTCATTATAAGCCTGTTTATCAGTTGCACAACAGTGGGATATTGGGTTTATGGTTGGTACTGTATATCTTATCACTATGGAGCTTATATATGTATTTATTTATTTATATTTATTTGTTTTAAAGGGGTGTTCCACTTTGTTTGCTATAAAATGTCAAAACATGTTACATTTAGTTAATATTCTATTTATTCAACCAATAACTTTTCATTTAAGATTGTAATCTTTATTGGTCCATGACTTCATATTGTGAAAATCAAACATTGAGGGAGACCAGACATCACCCAACGTGTTTGACAAATGTGGAAGAAGCCGATAAGAAGAACGGCCTTATTGGCTAATTGATTGCCAAATTCCTTGTATACTGTAGGCATTTCTTTCTCCGGGGTGACCGAATTGCAGATGTCAATCGTAATGTGTTGCCATGGTTGCTAAGGAAGGCTGGAGTTGACCCCAGCAAATGACTACATCAGATTGATCAACCATTATGGCTCATTATCTGGATTTACAAAGACAGTATTAAACTAAAAATAACAGCATCATACGGAACACTAAACCACAGATTATTAAGCCCAACGCGTTTATAGAGCTAGAGGAGTTTAATTTCAAGTCTATAATAGGAGTCCATGAGCACTTCCCTCTGGGGCTTTATTGAGCAGTTTAGCATTAACAATCTATACACAATCTACCAGTGACACATCATTTTTTTCCCAGGAACTACATCTTTATCTTTACCTTCATTTCACATTGTAATGCAACCTTGGCTACAGTAATTCTGCCTGCAAGGAATACAAAAAGTGAATGCACAAAGTAACAAAGTGAAAGTAAAGGAAATGGGGATCACAGTGGTTTGTGAGAGGTGATGAATGGGGTTTGTAAAGTCCCTAATGCCCCAGACCTGTGACTCCACTGAGAATATGAAGAACAAGTGTTGGTCTGCTCAATCTTTAAAGTGACAGCTCATCTTGTCTGTTTACTGGGATCTACACTGACATTAAATTCCATTTGGAAAATTTCCCTACAGTAAGTGCCCCGGCCACCCACATGACTGCTGTCCTGCATGCAATCACCTGTGTTTTGGGATGGAGAGAGGAACAGGAAAGAAGGAATGCAGAGGAAGAGACTGAGCAGACACGGTAATGGTAAAAGCCCCAGGGTCACAAGACGTGGCCGAGAGCCGACCCGGAGGGCCGACCCGGAGGGCCGACCCGGAGGGCCGAGAGCCGACCCGGAGAGCCGACCCGGAGAGCCGACCCGGAGAGCCGACCCGGAGAGCCAACCCGGAGAGCTGTCAGAACTGAGCGGCAGTGCCTAATTTGAGCTCATGTTTTACCCCTTATGATGAGTACTTTTCTACCCCTGTATTCTGTTGCACAGGTTTTACTACTTTATTATGGATTTTATTAAATACATCTGCTTTTATTTACTGCATTTTTTACAGTGGTCTTTTAAACTGGATCAAAAGAACCGTTCACCTTGTGTGACATGATCTTTTATGGTTTTGGTTTCAGAATAAAAATGTCACCGTTCCGAGGTCATCTTCCGGACGTTTGTTGCACAAGTATTTTACCAAAAATGGCTCATTATCCTCAGCTGTCATAGCGCCTACAGCTTTCTCAAAGGGTGGGTTTTAGTGGGGTTTTTTGTGCCCCTAGTGATTCTGAACCTTTTTCTTTGAAATCCATCCGTTTTCTATAAATCCACACGTTTGTGCGACAAACTTGGCTTGTTCTACACATGGATGTATAATATAATACATCCATGAGCTTGTCCTCGTCCACTCTAGTCTACGCGCGCAGAGAGTTGCCGTTGCCGAGTACTTCTAAACAATTCAGTAGTGGAGTGTCCTCTACAATTAGCGCAAATGGGTCAGAATGCTCAATGTTCACCTCACCACGCTAGAAGCATCACAAACCGCGCATACTGTGCAAGAACAGGAGGAGCAGAGCTGGCAGAAATGCGACACTTCCGCTAATATTTCATTCTCTATGGCAAAACCATACACCAATGAGCACAGGCCATTGATTTGAAGGGGCAGACAACTTGGGTTGAGGGGCTTTGGCTCAACTGGGATCAAATTTTTATCATCTTTAGCAAAAAACGTGTCATTAGCAGCTCTTACAAAAGAGCAGAATATATAATAATAATAAAAATGCAAAAAAATGTTCAGCTGGCCCTGTGCGCTCGGCTTTACAGTTGCAGCATGCCTTTTACCATTTGTTTCCCATGAAAGCCACATGGAAACATTTAGCTATCCCAAAGCATATCAGGGCAGACACATGACATTTGCTACTTGTATTCCAAATCAATGTTTTCTTTTGTTGGTTTAAACAAAAATCTGTGTTATGCACCTGTATTTCTACACAATAAAATCTAATCTTAAACACTTCACTTCAACTGGACCATCAACTGGGAATGTTTTTGAATCAACCATTTTGCAAAATAGGGTTGTATTACTTTGCTTAATCGTAACAAAATGTTCATAGAAGCATTTTTTGATTCAAAGGCGTGTGAAACGTGCACCGTTGGCAAGCGCTCAACAGTGCACCCTTAAGCGGCGTTCACACCGGATCATGCGTCTAGTTTCAATACAAAGTCAATGGTGATTGTTGTGGATTGCATGTGCGTCGTGGCAGGCAGGTTTGTCGCGGCAAAGGCGGTGTGTACGGTGACCCAATGCAAGCGCCGAAAGCCGTAGATGAACATTGTTGAACTTTTTCTGCTGGCCACACGTGCGGCAACCAATCAGAGAACCACAGAGTGGTCACAGGGACAAAAGCCGGTTAGAGAGATAAGATGCAAACACTCGAAAACAGCCAAAACAGGACTTAACCAGGATTAAACCGGATTTTAAAATTGTACTCTTTGTTTTTAAAGCCCTCAATGGTCTCGCCATTTAAAAATAAAATTAAACTTTGGCGCAGCTCCGTGAACACATACTGCTGTCTGCTGGAAGTTTCCGGAAGGTCTCAGGACACGAATGCAGCTTGGCAGCCCGAGAAGAACTTCACACAAAAAGCCGCTAGCTTAACCCTGTTAGCATCAAAGCCCGCCCGATACCACCGCCCTGCGTTTTGTGCCCGTGGCCTATAAAACAGCGGTAAAGGCGGGGAGGCTTGTTTATGCTGTTGCATTTAGCCATTTTTTGATGTACTTTAGTTTTGCACTGTGTACTGCAGACAGACTTAGACTTGTTTTAGTTTAACAGACTAATTTCAGGTAACAGTTTCACAGTTGTCAAGTTTAGAAGAGATTCTTGTCTTTTCCTTATCAATGACCTGGAAGCCAGTTTTCCAGCCACTGGATTGGAATTGGGCAAAATAACGTCAAGGAACAGTAAAGCCCCGTTCCTATCAAACCAAGCGGTGCAGCAGGTTTACGTGCAAAGTGTATGTACATGTAATTAGGGTTTTCATGAATTCAATGTAATAATTTTTTCCAATCGTTAGCTCGGAAGAATTTACAACGTTGTCCATTCACCAACACAAATCAGAGAATCAAATACCGAAACGCCATGCTGAATGAAAAGGTTAGGTGCATCAGTAACTTAAGCCGTCAGAGCAACCATCCAACCATTTCAGTCTGGATTTGTACTGTTAAACATGCAGTTTCGGATTTATTTTTTGTATTCTAAAAAAAAAAATTCTCAAAGCCTTTTGACTTAAACTCTAAAAAAGAAGGAAGAACACGTTTTGTTTTGAGCAACATAGAGATGTGTCCCTGGGGACAGAGACCCTATAGTGGCATTAGAAGATGGGTCAAATGCAGAGGACTAATTTCCTATTGGCTGAGCCCTGATCAGTCTGCGGACAACTTCGACACCAGTTTCACTCCAAGTTCATAATAAGCTTGGACATGAACCCAAACACACTTAGTTTGAATTTAGTAACTCATCATCCAAAATGGTTACTGACAAGGAAAAGGATAGGTGAGGTCTGTGTCTGTTTTGATATTGAAAAACAAACAATAAAACTTGTTTCTATGTTGCCAAATCTCCATTGAAAAAAAAAGGAAATGGGGAAAGAAAGAGTGAATTTATAGGCTACGCGTCTAAAATGTGTTAGTATTAAACATATCTTCCTTCTGAAAACAATTGCTTTTGTAGCCCAGAAGGCATGATTTATTTTGTGCAATTTGAGGAGACACTGCGCTAATATTCAAGGGTGAGTCCAAGCGGCCTCTGTTCATGATGAAGCTGTTTGTGTGAGCAGAAATGTGAATTTAATCTGAGCCTCAGGTCATTTATGTTAACATTTTTACATGACAAAATCATCATGCACGAGGAATTGTACTATGTTAGCAAAAATACAGTGCACAACCATTCATTTAGATTACAATACACTTGAAAAAGTTAACTTTGATACTTGGCGCCCTCTGGTGGTCCTATGAACATGCACAGCTTAGAAGTGCAGCTATTGTGTTGTTTATATCTGTTCAGAAGCCGTTTAATTAATAGATTAACAGACAAAATGTCCAATCCATCTTTTATAAAGACAGAAAACAATACAAACAACTAAATAAAAAGGAACACATTCAAACTAATCACGATCATCTTTACAACTGCTGTTACTTGATTAAGTTGATACGTTCAGTTTATCAGTCTCAAAATAATGTTGAAAATCTTCTTCATTGGACAAAGGTGTGCATAAAGTTGGTGTCCTCATTCATCTCCAGCCGGAAGGTTCTCCTCAATCCTTTTGATGAACCTCATGCGAATTTCTGTCACATTGTCCCCTCTCAGAGTGTCCTGGGCAAACCTTACATCTACAGCCATCTGCACCTACGACACAATACCAGAATCATTAGAACCACTGTCATTCATGGCAATTATTCCATAATATATTTTTCACCAAAGAATATATCATGTCAGCTGACAAACACTGTTTGAGAGGGGTTTAATTCTGGGATTAGATGAGATTTCTCTTTATGAATTTATGTGAATGTGTCTGTGTTTTTCCTGTGTGGTCACCTGAATTTCCCCTTGTGACAAAAAATAAATTAATCAATCGAAGTGTTTCCCAGCAAATGTATTCTACTGAAAAAATTATTTCACATTCGAAAACATGAAATGCCATGTTTAGAGTGGGAAGAAATGCAGCTGCGGTTACCATCTCCAGAGCTCCTCGCAGGATGCCACACAGCAGGTTGGAGTAGATGAGGGTGCTGTGGTTGTCTGGCAGCTCCACAAAGTCCACCAGAGGATTATTCTCCAGAATTAGAGAAAACTCATCTCCTGCAGGGCTCCAGTTAGTCACACTCGGAGTAGTCCCAAGGTACATTTTAAAAGCCACCTACCAACAAAAACAAAAAAAATCATATTAAAGCTTATGCTCAACAGCCTGCAAGAAGACATCTAGCATTATTGCCTGTCTTCTGATGTTACAGAATAACAATAAATATTATAACCATTTACCTTTGCAATCACATCAGCCGTTTCTCGGAAATCCTGACACCTGCCAATACTGGAACGTGCCAGAAAGTCCTCAATCAAACGAACTCCAATGTTATATCCCCTAAGGAAATGATACAGAGGGAATCAAGTCAAGCTGTTATCTCAACCTTTAACTTACTTAAAAGGGGAAGAGGACGACGTGAAACACAAAACAGAGCACAATGAATCCCTTAAACAGTAGAATTAATTAGTATTTTCGTGTGTTTTGTACTTACATTTTATCTAACTGCTTGTTGACTTCCTCGTCATTTTCATAGTCTTTACAAAGTTGTGTGACTAAAGCCCCGTACGTTAAAGTGAACAATTCAGAGTTCTTAAAGAGAAAAACAAATGCAGTGTTTACATTCATGTGAACAAGTGTCAGTTTAAACCCATGTTTCATCATAACACAGCATAATATAAATCATTCAACTACAAAAGGATTATAAATAATACAATAACAGATAATATAGTGAGTACACATTGGAGGTTCTGTGTGGGGTCAGTGCTGATCAGAACTATTAGCAGAATATGAGCTAAGTGTTACATTGCGATACAAAGGCTTATTTAAAAGGACATCCTACCATTTTCTTGTTGTCTGTGGCTCGGTTCGATTGCCTGGACATTGTGGACAATGCTACAGGCGAACACCGTGAGAAAGATAAGACGTAATCCTTTATTTATGTGATTGTCACGGAGAGCTCCGGGGATGCTAAGCGCTGAGGAGGTTTGGAGAGGCGTGGTCCCAAACACGGAAGAGAGTGCTTCCGTGTCAGGCAGAAACAAATAAAGACAATTAAAAAAAATGATAATAGGTCATGAGTCATATTGAAATAAATGTAACCTATACCCATATATTTGATTTGATTTTTGTACACAATTTGATAACTTACAAAACCTGTTGCCACTGGTTTACGTGAGGGTAGAGGGTAGAGATGACAACACACTACTAAAAACACAGCTTAACACTATTTCTTTGATAAATATTTACCCATATTCGTTTTATACGTCCATACCATGGATAAGTCTCTTCAAAAATCTATTTGTGTTCTTACGCGTTTAGATTAGTGTTTACATCCACGGTGTTTTGTACGTGTTATCTCCAAGTCTCCACATCTAAAGAATCTCTGTTTGACCTTCGCTGGGGCTTGTGCGCCGCCTAGTGGTGCGATAACGTGTATGGCATGACATATTTAAACCATCAGTTCATCAGTAATAAACAACATTAATAACATATATTAATAATAAATACATAGAGGCCTACGTGTATATTTGTGTACGTGTAATATATGCTTTATAGCCCAATACGGTTGTTTTTCGAAGGCATGCAGTCAGGTGACTCATAGAGATGTGGTATAATGAGTGGGTCTTGATGGGGGCTGAGGAGCTGGAGTCAGTACACCAGAATTTACCATTTAAAATCGACATTTAAGCTCACAATTATTCCTACAAAACAGCCGCATCAGAAAAGCTGCTCCTGGACAAAGCCCGCGCTTTGGGATTGGAGGCGCTCGTCCCATCCTGATCGGAGAAAGGCGCACCGCTTTGTGGTGAGGGGAAGAGGAACCGGACGCACCGCTACGGCTCTGCTTCTTTAGAAACTAGACTGTTTGTGTTATCGAGCTGGAGACGGACTCTTGCAGTGATGACGGGAAAATCTGTGAAAGACATTGACCGATACCAATCTGTCCTCAACTCGCTCCTGGCACTGGAAGAGAACAAATTCTGCGCCGACTGCGATTCCAAAGGTAAAGGATTATGCTCTGTGATGTTGCTAGACTGTGGTGATGTGGAGTCCTGCCTGCCCAATATGCCCACCACATCGCCTTGTTCTCAATCCACTTATTCCCTGCGCTCACCATTAGATTCATTTTAACCGATATGAGTACAGGGCTCATGTCATGGCTGCACCTGCAGCCTAAGAAATAAAAGAAAGGCTGATGCATTGCCATAATGAATAAACTTCAGGCGCAAGCGTAAACGTGGCTGAGTATCAGTGATAAGCCGGCATTGCCCCTGTGTAAAAGCCTATCATTATTGTAATTCTTTAGACTACACTGGACAAACTGTTCTTGTTGGTCAATGGATTTAAGATCAGGTGAGCGCGGCCTATGGTAAGGTCTTCATCCCTAATAGCATTTGGAAGTTATAAAGTCATGTTGATCTTTTGTTTCCAAAGTACAGTGAAAATACAGGGGCTTATATATTTTAATTATTAGTAGTATCATTAGTATTAGTTAGTGTAGCATGATTTTAGTAGTAGAAGTAGACCTAATAGTACCAGTAGCAGTAGCAGTAGTAGAGCTAAAGGCATTGAGTAGTGAGCAGTGCTTTTGAACTATTATAAACCTGTAAAAGAACCTGTCCTGCTTCAGGCTACAATATGTGTAAACATTCATGTTTGCAGACAAACAGCTGCCAGGTAATTTCCACAAAGACTTGACACATATCATTAGTGTTACTACACTAGTAAATATGTTACAACTATCTACACATCTCTTTTAAACGCATGAGATCTTACAGCTGTTGATGTATTTTTTGTGACTGTAGGTGTGTAGCCTCTCAAATATAATAACATGTCAGTCTTGATGACAAGAATAATGCAAGATGAAAGTTATACAATTCAAACCTTGGCATTTCAGTAGAGGCTTATTCTCTATATGTATATTATGCAAACACAACAAAAAGAACATTCAGGCTCCAGGAGATGCACTTAAGGCCTTAAAACAGGATGCATGTCTGATGGACTTGCTCTTCGATAGTTTCAGTGCCACAATGAAATTTGAGCTCAGGCTGTTGTCTTCCTGTTTTCCATACTTCTCGTACAGTCCCTATGGTTCAGCAGATGGATGTTGAGTGCTGCAGCCAGGTCTAATCACTGCAGATGGGATTAGGTGGCTAAAAGAAGAAAATAGCCAATGCACATGTACTCCACACCACACAGGGCACAGCTCACACTACGCCTCAGAGAGCATACCCAAACTTTTCCCTCTGCCTAACAAAACAACTGCCCCCATTGCACTTCACACACATCTCCTGTATAATTCTATTTAAATCACAGAGACAGATTGACAAGAGAGAGCTACAAACAGCTTTTTCTCTGTCATTATGTTGCATGGGTTACAAGTTTGCATGTTATTTGACAGACCCATTTGCATATGTTTTGCAATGGATAATGATAGGGGTTAATTAACTATAATTTTGATAATCGGTTTGCTGTGGGTCCACAAAAGGTCAGTGAATATGGGAGCTATAGTGATGCCATTCAAGACATTTTCATAATTACCCTTTCGAGTTAGATATCAACTGGATGTTTGAATGAAATTATGTATTATATCATTTCCATGTCATGCTACAGTTATAACAGCCCCGTGTCACAAAAACAGCAGGTATATGTTTCAAACCAGAATGTCCACACTCGGAGAACACATACCCCGCCTACACTACAGATTGTACAACTTTTAAATTGAGTCTTCCTTGTCTCACATCGCACCTAAATGTTATCAGTGATTAAATTAGTCGGAAACAATTTAATTTTGTTCTAAGATAAGATGGAGACATTTCTGATTCATTGATTCACTTGTCAAAGCCACAGACGACAGTGCAGCTATAAAAAGCCACACAACTATAGCATGATTCTTCTGTTTATTGACATTTGTAAAGTGGGAAGTGGAGCCTGTCTTTCCATATGGCCGTGCATGTGTACACACTGCCACAACAGCATCCCATCCTGTATTTCCCCTCGCTGTAATTGTGTTTACGTGCTATACGGTTGCCATAGAGACATCACCTGGCTACACCAAAACCTCAGTCGGCCTCGCCTCCTGCTGAGGGCCGTCAGCAGAGCAGTGGGTCCCAAAAGGCCCAGATACATCAGGACGAGAGCACAGTGTGACTGGAGAAGAATTCACACACATTTTTGATTGCAGGGGCAACTAAGAGCACGCTTTCCTCCAAAACTACCTGCATCATCAAAAATCTGTATGCCTCTAGTCCAGGCATCTCCAACCTTTTCAACCAGAGAGCTACTTTCCCAGGACAATAAAAGCAGCTAGCTACTCCTTTAAGCGGCCCTGGGATTTAAATAAAAAAGTGTTTTAATTAATATTATCATTGCATATTTGTTACCAGTGCACAAAGTAATTGCCTTTGAAATGATAAAGAATGCTCATGAATAATACAATTTGAAATATGAAGTATATTATATGATTTCTTTCATATATAAATACTTTGGCGAGCTACTGGTTAGAGACCCCTGCTCTAGTCAGTTTTCCCCAGGGCAGCTGTGACTAGAATCTTTCTTTATATCAGGCTATAGGCCAGAAGAGAAAAACAAAAACGCTTCGTACACGGTCATGATGTATTTTTCAGCGTATAGTGTTATTGCACCATATTGCATGTTATATGTAATACGCACAGTCACCCATGAGTCACAGTCTGAGGAGCACAAAGCCGCTTCACTGGTGCCAAAAGTGTCGTGGTCATGTTGTAAATTATGAGAAAGGTCCATCTGCTGCTTTGAGTCACTGTGGACCAAGATGGCTCCATAGAACTTGCCATTTTACTTGAGGGTAAGCTCCTGCATATGGCATGAGCTTTGAGATTAACACGGAACCAAATCCTTGTGAGAAACAGGGTCGTGAGTGGGCTTCACCTGCTTGTGTTACTGCGGCCGTGTATTCTGGGCAACTTCACCGAAAAAAACATGGATCTAACCAACAAGCCTCAAATATAGTTTCTGCTCTGTCAGTAATGTCTAAGTGACATAGGCATTTCACTTATTCATGCATGAAAGAAGTGTGTTTTAAGTGGCTATACAGTAATAATTTATGGGACATGTCAAATCATGCAGAGATTCATTAGTGGTCGGCAAATACAATATTCCAGGTTGTTATTTCAATGTGTGGCATAAAATATATTTGGAAAGTTGTGTTGTTGGATAAAGACACCACAATCAATCCACTGTTTGCATTTGGAGACACAAATAATCTAAAAAATCTAAAAATCATCATAAAAACAAAACAAAATGTTTGTGGCATTAGATGAAATGTATTCCTCTAACTGCACTCATAATATAAATGATTTTAAAGTTAAAAATAATTCTGTTGGATTTGTCTGCTATTGCCTTTGTACATTTTATATTATTATTTTCATGTATTAATTTGCGCCATTTTTTCATGGCAATGCAACAAAATACCACAATACTCCAGCACTAAAACATTCCATGACAAAAAGAGAAGTAGTAGGATGAAGACAAAAAACATCTCATAAACTCCGCCCTTTAATATAGTAGTAGAATGCATTTCAATTATATTTTGGGTAAAAGTTGGATTTAAATTCATTATAACATCACCAATCTCTTAAAATATCGAGGAAATCAACTTTTGAAATAGCTTTGAAGTGACCCACATTCACGCACTACATAACAACTCCATGAAAAGTCTTTGCATTATTCATTTTTATTTTCTCATTCTTTTCTCCAGGACCGCGATGGGCGTCTTGGAACCTGGGTGTTTTCGTCTGTATCAGATGTGCTGGTATCCATCGAAACCTGGGAGTTCACATCTCCAAGGTCAAATCTGTCAATCTGGACCAGTGGACAGAGGAGCAGGTCCAGGTGGGTCCGGCTGCCCGAAAAAGAAGCATGTCACGCCACATATTTGATCGTGTCCGCTTATGATTTTAAGAAAACGAGGCCAGCTGTTATTTTTAGCGTTCTGAGAAGTGAGAGTGACTAACGCTGCTGCTGCTGCGTTGTTCAGTGTGTTCAGGAGATGGGAAATGCCAAGGCCAAACGTCTGTACGAGGCCTTCCTCCCTGAGTGCTTCCAGCGGCCCGAGAGCGACCAGTCTGCCGAGATCTTCATCAGAGACAAGTACGAGAAGAAGAAATACATGGACAAAGTCATCGACATTCAGATGCTCAGGGTGAGACAGGAATCTACAGAGAATCGCCTATGCTTCAGCAACTCAGAATTTAAAGGGGACATTTACACTAAGATCCAAAAATACACTTTTTGCATGATGCCCCTCAATAAATGTGAAAGCATGATACAAACTCATATTCAAAGTGATGAGCCTTTGTTTGTAATCATTTTGCTGATTATGGCTTACTGTCCACTTTGAACATTTTCTGAGACGTTTTATTTGGGGTTTTTACCATAGACTGTATATATTAACTAACGTAGTCACGCCTATCTCCGCCATTCTAACTAATGGGCCAAAAATTGGGCTCTCATGGAGTGATTCAAAATGGCTTGCGGGGGCTGGAAAATGTGAAAAAACGCATCTGCGCATGCATCAGCCGGCACGAGCTCCATTCATTTAAACGAGTGACTTCAAAAATTCACAGCGAGTAAACTAGAGTGGTCCAAAAAAAGGTACGCCCCTCCGCATTGACACACATGTGGAATGAAGCTTTGGGCCAAGAGCCAACTTTTGGACCATTCTGTAAAGGTGTTTTCGAGAGGTAAAAAGATGCTATATGTTAGCATTGGCTAATTCTTATTCCGGGTCCACCGCCATCGGCCCAGGGTGGTATTGCAAGCATGTCAGCGCACGTCAATTTGGCCACTTTTGAACCGGGACCCGCCCCCACTGGTTTTTACAAGCTATAAGGATCAACATTATAACAAATAAAAGCTTGATAAAGTGGGAAAAAAGTATTAGTCACCCAACAATTTAGCAAGTCCTCCCACTTAAAAAGATGAGAGATGCCTGTAATTTTCATCAAAGCTATACCTCAACTATGCGAGACAAAAAAATCCAGAAAATCCTCCAGAAAATCTTCCAAGAAAATTGCTGTTGTGATTTAGGGCTAAATATAAATACGTTGAATTGAAAATAACCCAGTTTAAACATGTAAAATGGTTTATTTTGTATCTTGTTTATGTTCACAGAAAGAAAAAAGCTGTGACAATATACCAAAGGAACCTGTGGTGTTTGAGAAGATGAAATTGGTGAGTTCTTTATGCAAATTAATTATTCGGTGATTTACGTCGTTTTTAGAAATGATCGTACATAACATTTCTTTATGTGTTAAAGAAAAAAGACACCAGCCCAAAAACTGACTCTCAAGCGGTGACAGATCTACTCGGATTAGGTAAATCTTTTGAAGCATTGTTTTTTTTCTTCTTTACGAATCAATTATGACGTAGTTTGTATTCCAGATGCTCCAAGCCCGTCAGTATCAAATGGTCAAATGCTCGCTTCAGACCGTTTTGAGAGTCCAGCCTTAAACCATGCAGGGTTAGACCTGTTTGGCTCTTTACCGCCGTCCTCTTCCATTAAAACCACAGTAAGGCCATATCTATGAGCTCTTAGAAATGATGAAAAGTTTGAAATCTGTTTCCTTTTGTCTCCAGCCCGTCTCCGGTTCTCTGCCACACAGCCGAGTGACTGCATCAGTGCCTGAAAACCTCAGCCTGTTTTTAGATCCGGCTCCAAAGAAAGAAGCGGTGAAAAAGCTCTCCAAGGACTCCATCCTCTCGCTGTACGCATCCACTCCCTCAGTGCACGCCAACAGCATGGCCGCTCATGGTGAGGATCTGATCGCACTGTGGAGAAAGTCAAGTGTTATTTAAATCAAGGAGTAGCTTCAGTTTAGTTTTCCCACATATGGACGACAACTAACCACCCTCTTCACTGTAGAATGCAAAAAGGTCCAAGGCACTCTGACTTCACTTAAAAATCCTTTATCGTGGAAGTGACATAGCATCGCGTTTGGACCACTCTCTGGTCTTCATCAAGGCCGCGTTTGGACCACTCTCTGGTCCTCATCAAGGCCACGTTTGGACCACTCTCTCGTCTTCATCAAGGCCGCATTTGGACCATTCTCTGGTCTTCATCAAGGCCACGTTTGGACCACTCTCTGGTCCTCATCAAGGCCGCATTTGGACCATTCTCTGGTCTTCATCAAGGCCGCGTTTGGACCACTCTCTCGTCTTCATCAAGGCCGCGTTTGGACCACTCTCTCGTCTTCATCAAGGCCACGTTTGGACCACTCTCTGGTCTTCATCAAGGCCGCATTTCAACCAGAGAGTGGTTGCAACGGGTCGCTATGTCCCTTTCACAATAACAGATTTTCATCCCTTTAATGTTCACTCCTTGAAGAAAGCATGCAATGTTTTTTTTTTTTGATTTTCTAAGATGAAGCAGCACTTTTTTTGACCCCTAGTTCTATAATTATAGGTCTTTACCAAATGCTTCAGGTGAATTTTGATGGTAAAAGTGTCTGAAACCAAGTGATAGCAATGCCCCAATGAGAGCTTCAAGCTTCAAGTAAATAGATTGACTCAAAAAGTGATCCACCAAATGGTTGAGAAAACCATTAAAGGGTTATGTTAAGTCGGAGTGCCCCGGACCTTTTCCTCTTTGCTTTCTACATTATTTTCCCACGGATCCTCAAAGAGCACCTGATTACTCACGTTTTCCCACGTTTTTTTTTTTTTTTTTATTTGCTAACCCTTTGAACTGTTTTGAAGGCTTGTACATGAACCAGATGGGATACGCAGCCCACACCTTCGGCTCATATCACTCCCTGTCCCAGCACGCCTCTCTGTCGGGGGGGATGATGCCGTCACAGATGCCCATGATGGGACAGCAGCAGACCATGGGGCTGGGGGTACAGCAGCCGGGCCTTGTGGGGCCTCCGGGGGTCCTGCCTCACTCTAACTCGGCTCCTTCAGCATGCATGGGCGGGATGGTCCCAGGTATGGTGACGCAGCAGCACGGGGTCCTCGGACAGCAGCAGCAGGTGTATGGACCCCAGACTCAGCAGCTGCAGTGGAACATCGCACAGGTGAGCTTCGGCTGTGGGCTTTGACAATGACCTGCTGATACATACTAAAGCTGGGGTACCTAATTTTCAATAACAAAAAGCAATCTATGGAGTTCCTTACGCTCCGTTCAGTTTGGCTCTATCAAGTGCGGTCCAAAAATAGGTTGCAAATTTTGCATTGGATTCATTTTAATCTCGTTTCATTTGATTTTTTTGTGACCTGATGAAAGGATGTTAAAGAAATGACAGGAACTGGCTCTAGACGGGAAACAAAACAATAGACACCTCCGCCGTCCGGTCTACCTCGCCCCCCCTAGCCGCCACAATGAACCAGCCCACACCGGTTAAGTAGTAAAGAAATAACTCAAGGAAGATTTGACATAGATACAAATGTGATTCATTTACAATTAATCGTGAGTTAACTTTGACTATGAGATTATTTGTGATCTTTGAATAGATTGACAGCACAAGTTCTATTTTTCAAACAGAAAAGTAAAGAGATGTATGCAATTAGAAAAAGATCAAATGTTCTAGCGTAATATCAAGACAGTATGTTGACGTCGGATTTGTTTGCGTTTTACTTTTACAAGACTTTCTGTTGGGACCAAATGTATTATTTGTGGAAAAAGTGAAATACCCCAGCTTTAAGACATAATAACACATGAAGTACAGTGGGAATCTGTATGGAAGATTTTTGTGGAGCACTAACCCTAACCATGTCCTGTGCTTTTTTTTACCTGTTAAATGAATGTTATAAAGGTGTTATTTTGGCTTTTCAGATCACTCAGCACGTGGCAGGACTCAACGCCTACCATTCCAACAACATGGCGAGCTACAACAATCAGCACATGGGCGGCTCCGCACCTCCGAGCTCGGCACACATGACTGCACACGTATGGAAATGATGCGATCAACAAGAGGCGCCACACAAACCAGGAAGTGACATCACACACCGTGGACGAACGAACTCTATCAAAGAGACAAAAGCAGAGGAGCAGTGGGGAAACCTCTCCTACCTCCTCCAATTAACCTCTTCAACCTCGTGGTTTGGCCGTCTGGTCCGTTATTGTCATTTGCTATTTTCTGCAGAATTCAATGCTTGCCTTTGATTGTTTTTTTTTTCAAATGAACAAATTGGAGTTTGTATTTTTGCACATGGACGGAGGAGCGATGGCTTTGTCGGCGTTCCTCAACATGGAAGCATAATGAACTTGAGTGGAGTTTGGATGCAGCCTACCCTAGCCTAGCTTAACCCTGCGCGTGCCTGAAGTGCAAAGTAGTTCTGTTTTTATTTAACAACATGATGCAATATATCTAATTTATTGAATGTTTTTACTGTTTACTGCATGTAGTTACGTTTCACTTTTAGTCCTGTGCTTTGCATGAATCTGTCTATGCAGCATTACACCTGATTTTGCTGTAGCAAGTGTGAATCATGAGCAATACTTTTTACTTTCGTTATTTTTGAATGGTCTTTATGTGTGTGAAGCACTTATCAGACAATGCTAAGCTAGGTAAGGCTAAAATTACAATCACTGTATTTATTATATTTACTATTATACATATTTTGAAACCTGTGATCACGCAGTAGTTAAAACTGGGGTACCTAACTTTGTCTTGCTCATAAACAATACATTTTAATGTTCCAACAGAAAGAGTCTTGGAAAAGTATAATATATTGAACAAATCGGACCACAACATGCTGTCTTCACCTTAGTAGAACACTTGTATATTTGCACACTTGTGACTCTGGTCTGTGAAAGGCGGTATATAAATAAAGATTACTTACTTACTTACTTACTTGTAAGGTAGAGCCCTGTGAGTCATTATTTGATTCTTTGGGCTAAGAGCAGACAGAGATTGGCCGAGTGCTGCTGGAGGTCATGGTAATCAAGGATTTTCCCAATATACTGGTTTGTTGTGGGTGGGTTGCTCGGATACAGTAGGATACCAGATTGTAATGGAAAGGCAACCAGGTAGAGTAGTGCCAAGTAGGGCCAAAGAGGGCGTTTCCACCAAGCCCTACTTAGGGGTGGTGTTGTTCTTGTGGTTTGAAAGTTAGCTACCCCAGATTTTATATTATTACTTTAGATTTATCTACAGGTCCACATTTTGCATTTTATATCAGATCTAAAAGGGCTTGTGCTAAAGTTAAAGCTTCAAAACGTAATATTTCTGGTGGAAGGACTGCACTCTTCCGCTGTATAGCATTACATTGGAAACTGCCAAAATCTAGAACAATAATTAAACAATTGCAGGTGTCATAACAAACCAGTGATGAGGAGCTGCAATCTTGCATCTGCTTGTCTCCGAGGTATTTGATGAGTTAAAGGAGACCTATGCGTTTTAACCATGTTGTTATATTGTTTTTCGATCTATCTATAAAAAAAGAGATCTTCTGGCACAAACATGTAACCCCGCCCCCTTTTGTCTAAAAACTCCTGTCTCAGTCAAGTAATAGTAGACCTTTTAAAACAAAAGTATTTCCTTTCAATAAGTTTTGACAATTTCTCAGGTGAAATGACATTCTGTACAATGGCTGTGTTTGTAGTAAATTTGAAAAAAAATGAAACAAATAATTCAAGCATAGGGATAGGGCAGGTCGATAATATTGCTCATCCAATCCTTTTCTATGAATGAGATTATTTCACATTTAAAACATGAAAAAAAATCAAAATATGTCATGCTTTAATGCTATACTAGGGTGGAGGCGAAAAGTTACGTAGTGCAGCTTTAATACCGTTACAAATAATCCTGTTGTCAATTTGGCGTGACCAAAGAGGACAAGCAGTGTTGTGGTTTTGCAGTACTCTCAAATTGATCTAATTTATAATAGTATTAGTAGACATCTCTTTACCTCTGACCATAAGCTCTCACACAGTTCAGTCACTGTGCTTCTTCGATAAAGGGCCGGCGCGTTGTTGAATATGTAAAATCTACCTGTTTAACGTGAAGACCTCCCCCTGATGAATGTGTATATCTGTAACAGGGCACTTGCATTAATGAGGTCTTTCTGTGAATTGCATGAATGTAAATACCAATCTGACTGTGTCTCTGGAAGATGTTTTTCTGAATGTTACTGTGTCGAGACCAACACTGACCATATATTGAATGTGTACGGCGTAAACTCGTGATGAGGTTTCTGTCTGGACGTCCTCTCAGTTATTCTTATTACATCATTTGTTTTTGTGTCTTTGATTCAGATTGTTATATACTCTTGATTCAAAATGTTATTATTTATTTATATCTGCAAATGAACCAAGCCGTAGACTTTGTGTGTGCTGGGGTCCAGACATTTGAAATAACGCTTTAGTTAAGAATCTTTATACATTTGCAGTACATCATACAATGAATGTATGTTTCTAAAGCTGTCATCACTGAATATCTCTATGCCTATGTTGTTTTAGGAAAGTTAATTCAAATCTGTCACTTAATACTTTTGCTTAAGTACATTTATGACATAACTGTACTAGTGAACAATATTAAAAATAATAATATTTACTTGATTTCATTGATTGCGTTACAAACTTTAATCCATAAGTCCTTGTGGTTTATCCATCAATTTACTTTCACTTTATCCATTGCTGGTCACAGGGGCAGCAATCTAAGCAGAGACACCCAGACTTTCTCCAGCTCGTCCAGGCCAGGCCAGCTGCTGAGACGTCCCTCCAATGTGCCTTGTGTCTCTCAAGGGGCCTACTCCCAGTGGGAGATGCCAGGAACAACTCCCCAGGGAGGGACTGCTTTCAATCAATACCCAAAGCTCAAGACAGTAGGTGATTGTGGGAACGTAGATAGACCGGTTTATGGAAGGCCTTGCCTTTCTATCAAACTCCTTCTGCCCCCACCAGAAAGAAAGCCTCGGGTTTGGAGGTACTCATTCTCATCCTGGCCACAAACCATGTTGAAGGTCCAGGGGTGCAATGACTCCTGGCTGCATTTCTGTCTATAAAGACAGTGAACAGAACCAGTGACAAAGGGCAGCCTTGGAAGAGGCCAACTTGTACTGGGAACAGGTCAGACTTTCTGCCGGTGATGCAGACACAGTCCTGACTCTGGTCATTCAGGATCCTCCTGTTCATTACATCATATTTCACAACAAAGACTCAAACACAGCTCTTCATTGGTGATTGATAAACTTTATTAACATTGTGGCCAGATGTCCAAGAGCATGCAATTACAGGCTTTTGTTCCCCCATTTCTTTCTTTCTTTTGTTTGAAACCATTTTCTTATAAAACTACGTGCACCTTAAGTAATCAATTTTGCAGCGTACAAACCACAAAAATACCAGTTTTACATTATCAAATACTGCACATAGAAAACATTTACAAAGCACAGGTAGAAAATTTCCGCTTCCTGTTTCTTTACGCCATACCACACTCACATCAGTCCGCTTTGCCTTTGAAAAAACATTAGAGTTTTTATGGAAGGAGTTTGCCAATCAGAGAGACAGCTACATACACAACAGCAGTGCAGGTGTTTTGTGCCTACATTTGGATATTTGGACATTTTTGCTTAAATTCTGATGATAACTTTGTGCTTGGCTGGTTTTGTTTAGGAGTCTTTAGAGGAGACACGGCTGTCTGCATTTGTGCTAATATCACAAAAAAACACAGGACATTTACAAATTGCAATTTAACAAAGCAACAAATTACTGGTGATGGGTTGAATCACATTTTAAAGTTGCTACATTAATCTGAAAGGCAAATATTCAATTAATCATTGTGCCTGTCGTGAAGATTGGAGATGCGCTGGGAGTGGCCGCGCCCCCAGCTCCTAAGTAAGAAACAGGGCAATCATAACCTACAGGGTGAGGCTACAGCCAAGGCTTATTGCCATCACAAAGCATGGAAGGCAAGGAATATGCTACTATAAGTTACAGCATTTTGAAAAAGTAAATTTGCATCTGTAGAAATTCCAGTAACCCCATGGCCATTTCAACATGTTTTACTCCTTATCATAAGGTCTTAACAAATATTCAAATAAAAAGGAATATATTCTATAATGGATAAATGTTAGGGTAAGAATGTGCAATCCTTCTGCTGCAAATGTAAATAAATCAAACAATTATTTGTCAGACAGAAGTGATGCTATCATTATAGACAGTGGTAGAAATGAAAAACATTAGTGAAGTGCCCAGTGGTGCTACTTAAAGAGACAGCAGCAGACATATGAAAGAAACGACTTAGTCCTTGTTGAACCATTAGTAAATACATTCAAAAAACTATGTACAGACATATAATTATAAGATCATACAATATTTCAAGCTAAATACATTGGTCAGAACCTTGAGTTGTGTGCTACAATGTCCACACAATTTAAGGCCATTGTAAACTGAAAAAAGCCCTCAATTTTGCAAGATTTGCAAGCCCCACTGTGCTTAGACCAACACCCCTCTAAATAGTTCTTTCATTGTACAAAAATAAAAGTGAGACAATTCAATAATAGTTTTTTTTTTTGCACAATTGGAGGATTATATACACTAAATAAGCAAGCAGTTTACATTCCGAGTATCCTCAGCATTTCAGAGATGCTTCTCCCTCCCACAAGTCGCTCCTTTGCAACAACAGACCCGTCATCAGTGCTCACTGCGCAGTCCAACAGTCCAGACGACAACCAAAGTTGGAGCGATGACGTGTTACAATGCAGCAGTTCCTCTTTCTGTGCCTGTTCAACAATGAGATAATATCTACCTCGGTGAATGTTAAGGGTAAGACATGATGTAATAAAGATACTCTTAATAAAAAGACAGAAATAGCTAGTTTTCTTGATATAATTATATAAACTATTAGGGATGTTCAAACTTTTGATTATTGTCTGTCGTGAAAAAATAATAATACAGACATAGTAAGATTTCATTCTTTCCAAGCAAAGCTCTCTGTGGTCGTGGGACAGGGATAGACTTTCTTACAAAAGGTGGAAGGTTAAACCACACATTTATGAACCGTGTTTAAATGATGTCGTATGAGATGCAGCTGAGGCAGCATTTGGCTCCAGGCTACACTTAACACTTGTGATTAAACAAAGTTAAGACAAAGAAGCAATAGAACAAAGCCCTGTGTTCAATCGTCAATATTCAGTTCCTGACTCTTGCAGCACATCATTTACATGCAGCTGATTAGGAGACACACACACAGCACGCTTTAGAAAAGATCAGAGACAGCTCTCCTTTTGGTTCCCAGGGCAAACATGTCCAACTCTTCAAAGATATTTCTCTTCACTTTAAGTCTTGTATATACAACAAACAAGTAAAACTCTATGTACTTCTATATAAATTCTATGTTCTTTAAATATTGAGACAAAACATGTTGGCATCCAAACCAACAGTATAGTTTCTTTAAAATTAGCATGTTCCTTCAAGGTTGCCACTTGTTGAAACATGTTGATTTTAGATGTGTACAGAAGTGTAAATGTCATGCCAGATGCTCACAAATTAAACATACATCAATTTTTATATAAAAACATCAAAACATTTTTCCAGCGAGGAAATAGTCCATATCCACAGGTTTCAGCTTCCTGTTTCCATTCAGACCAGTTTGACCGAAAAGGATCACAGAACATGTGTTTATCTAAAATCTAGTGCAGAACATATCTGTCTTTGAGTATATTTATTTTAGAATTGTCCGGGACTGGCAACAAATCTATTTTTCCTCACACTGAAACCTGTGGCCACTCCATACTTAACTGTACAATATGTATTTATTTATTTATAGAAAGTTGCCAAAATACCTCCTCACAAAAATCAAGAATATCAGATATACTTCCCTTTGTTTAAACTGTGGGAAATGGGATTTGTTTTGGTCTTAGTTAAATGGGGAAAAATAATGGTTTCCTTTGACAAATAAATGCTATGCATCATACATTAACATTCATGTTGTAATGTAAAAAAAACAGGAAATAAATCACCGCGCAGTAGGGCAAAATAAGAAAGAAAAGAAAAAGACTATACACATTTTGAAACCCTGCTGGCAATGAGAAGAAGCCAATAATAATGGACATTAATTTGAAAAAAACAACTTATATTATAGTTGGTTGAAGCTGTGTGCATATAATCAAGTGGTTCTGTCTATTACTTTCCTACTAACTGTAAAGTGCAAAAAGATAATGCCATTGGTGTAGAACTTTACATCTGAGAACCAGGGACAGTGGAACTCTCCAGACGAAGTCTCCAGAGCAGGAGGCCCAGGTCCTACGCACGACACTTCTCACTACAGGCCTGGGCAGGGGAGTGGATGTGTTTGTCACTTTCTAGTTGTCTCCCTTCATGAGATTCATTTCAATAAAAGAAAGTGTCCCTATATTCATTTTACACTTGTCAAGGCGAGCTAAAAATATATATTTTGTGTGCGCGCAAGTGCTATATTAATATATATTAATATATATATATATATTAATATATATTTATATTAATATATATATATATATTAATATATATTTATTAATATATATATATATACACACATATATATATACACACATATACATATACACACATATACATATATATATATATATATATATTCATATTTATAGCACTTGCGCATTTTCAAATGTCTCTATGAAAGTAACAAGCAAACATGCAGACTTAAGCTGATACATACAGCAACACAAACAGAGATTATATCATCCCTGTGTGAGAAATAATACAATGGCAAAGCATGTGGCCACTTTACATAATAATCATTTTGTGGGTACATAATGGTCATGTTCAGACTGTTATTTTCAGCTCATGGGTTTAGAATGTCTTTTTTGCATTACATCTAGGTCACTGACTTTGCTACATATCCAGTTTACACTAAAACTCATCTACAAGTGTAAGAGTAACAACAATGACAATTGCTTTGGTTTTAAAAAATAAACTATTCTTAGTTCGGCATAGAATTTATAAATGGGCATCGGGGTGGCCCTGGGATGAGATCTGATAACTGTTCGACATGGCACCAGGTGAATCCTTGATGGTGAAATGTTAATGCTACATCTTGTAGTCACCTGCAGGAGGCGCTAAACATAGTCAGACAGTGTAGTGTGGGACAAAGGGCACATAGACATGTACACTTGTGGATGGCAGTACTGTGTTAAGTCTGTGTCCTCTAGGGGCAGGTCGGGCTGGTGGCGCTCTCCAGAGACGACTGAGAAAGGCGCCTGGTCAGGGGGCCAATGTTGGGGTCCGCCAGAGAAGAGGTAGGGAACAGCTTATACCAGCCACTGACACAAGTCGACAGGTCCAAGTCCTCCAGGAGGATCTGAGCCATTCCCATGAAGCACTTGTGGTCCATACGCCCATAATCCCCCCACACTATTACCTACAGGAAACATTATATTAAAAATGATATGTCAAAACCAGAAACAGACATAATGAACGAATACCTGCACAACTTTTCCCTGAGGACTTTCATCAAACAGCAGAGTCTGCTGATATGTAGGGTCCAGGTTTCTCTTTACAACTTTGGTTTTCTTCTTGGACAAACACATTCCGTTTTCCAAAAGATACACTTTCACGTATGTTGCTGTAAAGACATTCAAATGAGTTGAAATATTTGGGTATTCAGTGGTTTACAAATAATAATAATATAATGATAATATAGTAATAATATATACCTGGTAAGTTCTTGGAGCCTGGTTTTGGGGTCAAGCATCGGGCTTGAGTGACCTCCACCTCCAGTTGCCCTCCTCTGTCTACCATGCCCACATAAACATCCCCTACAAGAACACAGCATATTTAAGTATTTATTCCCTTCATAAAACACAACATTTCGTTTTGTTTTAACTGCAAAAACATAAAAACAGCCAACAACGGCTTGAAATAGGCTGACATTAATTTAGTAAATGGTGAAAAATAAGTTTGCTTCTTGTTTTAATTCATCAGGCGCATTACTTTGGTAACTGAGTAGCTTTTGGGAGTTTGATTGCCAAGTCTGTCCTTTGTATGTCTTCTTGGAATTTCACTATAAGTAGACAATAACGACGACTCTAATCTAATCCAGCACTTGTAAGGCGTAATGCAATGTAAGGTGCAATACAAATAAATTACTGTTATTATTGATCTAATGCAACACTGACCGCACAAAGCCAATGAAATCACAAACAGACTCGTGCTTCTACCAGCAGAGGGAGACATTGCTGCTCCATATCTAGCTCATGGCTGTATTATTCCCGGCTTTAGGATACGTTTTTGTTTTAAACTCCTTATGATACATAGATGGACAATAGTGGTTTGTAAAAATATATACAACAGTGGTTTTAATAAATACTTAAGATAAAATTGGGTAGTGTCTTTCTTGATTGTATCTCCTAAATTGTATGATAATTGTATGATAACAATTGAAAGAAACCAGGGCAAACACTGAAAGAGAATTGTTTTATTTTCTATCTCATTTTCATTAGCGCCGAAAGACAATGGCACATAAAAACTAGACTGGAAAGGGAGGCTGAAGATCCACAACATGTTTATCATAAAAAATAAATGACCTAAGGAGCACGTAGCAGGACTGAGAACACTGTGTACTATTTTTATTTTTTGCAGTAAAATCTGGCAAGCAGCATCAAACATATTTTCTATGTTTTTTTGTTCTGAAATTAACAAGACTCTGGGGAATATTTTGGAAGCAGCCTGCCCATTGTGGGTTATAACTAAATATATATAGATTTTTTTGTTATTGTTATTTTGTAATTGAGGGTGAAAACTTACCCATGGGGGGTGTAGCTAAAGTTTGCCGGCCCACAATTTGAGCAGGGCCAAGTCCATCCAGGAAGTCACTGAACTGCCGGTCCGGTGCTTGACGTGGCGTTGGGAAGACAAACCTGAAAATGATGATGAAAAAAAAGAATCAACAATAATCAAAATAAGTTGATTATTCTTTTGATCAGTCAATTAGTTATTTAGATCCGTCAAATAAAGGAGTTATTTGTTTGTTTGAAAATATCCACCCATCCATCTTCTTCCCCTTAATCCATTTCTGGGTCGGGGGGGTGGCAGTCAGAGATGCACCCAGGACACAGAGCACCAGCCCCTCACTGATCCTCCTGCAGGTGGTGAGTCCACAAGGGCCTTGGTTATTCAGGGGTTTCAGGCAAAGTGGGGTTAAGTGTCTTGCCCAGGTACACAACAACAGCAGTCATCAGTGGGAGTCGTGAAGAAGGTCTCATGGTGGGCTCAAACCCACAACCTTCAGGCTCTAAGGCCAATGCTCTACCAACTGAGCCACTGTTGCCCCAATCATTGTTTGAAAATGCATGCATACATGTTTTGCCCCATGTATGGTTCAAACAACGATGAATTGATTTCTTAATTAGTTATTAAGTAATCTTAAAGTTATACTGTTTTGTTCTCCTAGGAAAATGTATCCTCTGCATTTGACCCATCCTTCCAAAGCCATTAGGGCCTCTGTCAGGAAGTTGCCGTATTTAGCGCTGAGGGACCAATCTCCAGATATTGACGCTGGGTTTGGTCTGGACCAGAGCTGGAAGATTTAACCTATTGCACATGTTTTCAGTGGTAGGGGAAAACTACACAGACACGGGGAGAACATGTAAACTCCACTCAGAAAGGCCCTGTTCAAATACCAGGACCTTCTTGTTGAGAGAGACAGGCCCAACCATTTTAATAATCGATTATACCTTGTTATTGGATCAACAGCCCCAGAATGAGTGAATAGTATTTTATTTGTCTGGTCGCTTACGTTCCATCAGAACTGTTGGAGTTGGTGCTGCCATCAGTCGAGTCCTTGCTTCCCTGCCGCGTCACTCTGCTCCTCATCTCCACCGCAAACCCTGTCTCGGTACTTCGCCGGATTGTGCTGCGCAGCTTCTTTGTTCCGTTATCTACATGAAACATAAGCAATAATCAGTTTCATCAGTTGTTGTTTGTGCCACATAAACATGCTCAGGTATGTACAGTGGGTGTAATTGAACTTAAGCTCTCACACAGGTGGACTAAAAGCTCCATACTGTGGCTTTATATGTTGTGTTTTAAATAGGTCTCTCACAGTTATATCAAATGTCAGCGGTTTTATAGCAAGCAATAGAAAGGAGCAAGGAAACTGACAAGCACTGGACGACAGGTAGAGGCAAGTGCTGAGCCCAAAACTGGATAATGACAAATAGACTCAAGCAGCGTTCTATTTATAATCCTGCAGGCTCAGTGTGTGTGCGTGTGTGCGAGCGTGTGCATGTGTGTGTGTGTTTGTAGCATCATATTGAGACAGACCCCATGCACCTGCTGCTATGGCAACCCCTGCTTCAGATCAGACCAGACCAGACAATGCCACCTGAGAAAAGGCACCACAGTGACAGTCTCAGCCGCTGTCTATCATCTTGAAGAACACTTAAGCTGTAGATCACTTAAACAAGTGATGCCCAGTTGGAAAAGTGTATTACTAATAATAATAATAATGCATTGGTTTTATATTGCGCTTTTCAGGACAACTGGACAAAAACTTCACATGTCAATATTCTTTCACTCCATACATGGTGGTGATGAACTACTACTGGGGCACTCTGACAGAAGCGAGGCAACCAGTATGTGCCTCCGACCACCACCAGCCATTCACACACACACACCAGACTCATTCTAGGCAATGGGGGTGAAGTGTCTTGCTTAAGAACACAACTACAGTTTGCACTTTACCGTCACACCCACCCCACTGTGGCACCTGGTGTTCCCAGTGGTCTCCCATCACAGTACTAACTAGGCCCTGCCTGCACAGCTTCAGAGGCCTGACGGGATCTGGCTTTCGGATGCAAACTTTTAGCCACAAATGCAAATCTCTTTAACACACGTTGCATTGTGTATAAACTGTACTATACAAATAAACTTGCCTTGCCTACAACATACTTCTTGCATGTGGTAGTCAGCCTGATGAGTAGGTTACTACACGTGTTGTACCAGTATATAGCTCGGCGGCACGGTGGCTGAGTGGATAGCACTCTTGCCTCTCAGCAAGAAGGTCCTGGGTTCGAATCCCGGTTGGACCAGGGCCTTTCTGAGTGGAGTTTGCATGTTCTCCCCGTGTCTGCGTAGGTTTCCTCCGGGTGCTCCGGTTTCCCCTACCACTAAAAATATGTACAATAGGTCTGGCATGTGCCTCCTGTACTGGCACCCCTGCTCCCAAAAAAATAACAATTGTAAACCGCTTTGAGACTCCGATGTGCAGTGAAAAGGCGGTATATAAATAAAGATTACTTACTTACTACTTACTACTAACTCTATCTTGTTCTGGCCCAAAAGCCACTTCAGAAAAAGCCCGCAATGTGCACAACTCAAGTGGATCTCCATCTTATCATCGGACTCTATATACGAACACTTGTTAAAGGCCCCTCCCGTCACAGTCTCTCTCTCCTCACCTTCTCTTAACACAGTACGAAGCGCCGCTGATCTGCTCCATCCTATTCATCCCCCTCCTCCTCATCTGCGCTTTCCCTTCCATGCGTTTCCATGGCAATCTGCTCTGCATTGCACCAAGAGCAGCGGCCGGTGCACACAAGACTTCTCCCCCTCTGGCTTCACGGCGGTGGCCTTTGCATGACTCCCTCCCTTCTTAATTACAGACGAGTAAATTCTCAACACCGAACTGGATCTGCGACCATTTTCATACGTATATTTTCATCTTGGCCATCATTGTCTTGGCTCGTCCTACGGTTACATGCAGACAATCGGCTCTACACCAGCGTCACACGTACTTATATAACACGCAACAAGTTCGATGAAAACACAAACATTATATAAGTTACTAGATTGGAGGATGGTCTGACAATGCCAAAGGGCTGCACAAAGAGTTCTTGAAGAGTTCGAGGACCACTTTTCAACGCAGTGCAATTATATAAACGGAAGCGAGATAGTGAATCGAATCCATTGTGTAGCTTGAAATTAAAAGGTACTGGCTAATCCTTTCTTAACTGTAACTCACATATCTGCAAGAGTGGATGTATTTGGAAGATCATTAGAGCATCCGTGGCATTTGGAAGGAGCACTCATGAAGCCCCTCTCATTATACGCTGTAATGTAGAGGCTGTTTTTAGACTCCCTGGACGCGCTGACGTGCCTATCGAATGCACCGGTGACGGCAACAATCCGGCAAGCCTAGCAACAGTCACCAGGAATGGGTGTTATAAGAATAAGATCTGTTGTGGTATCTTCAAGCGTGGTGCCTTTGCTAAATTTGGACAAAAGAGGATGCAAGGTAGAGGGATTCATTTGCGTGTAAATGATTCAGAGGAAGCGTGTGGATTTTAATTGCTAAGCTTTCATGAAGCTATAGCGCAAGTGGTATGAAAGGAAGGTCGGGAAATGCTGTATTAAGTGTTCTGTGGTTATGTCAAGTTTATTTGTTTTGGCCCTGTAAGAAAAGGAAGCAATAGGGACATGCCAACACAATCGCATGCAAGAAAAGTTTTATAGTGTCCTTTGAGTTTTTCTCCATAAAAATGTTTCACGTCAACTTTAGTTTTGCTAGTTTACCATTTCCATCCATCCATCCATTTTCTACCCTTTAATCCATTTCTGGGTCAGGGGGGTGGCAGTCAGAGGTGCCACCCAAGTCTCATAGCACCAGCCCCTCACTGACCCTCTGCAGGTGGTGAGTCCACAGGAGGACGGCTGCTCTCTGAGTGTGAGCATAGCCTTGATCTTTCAGTGGGGGCTTTTGGGCAAAGTCGGGTTAAGTGTCTTGCCCAAGGACACAACGACAGCAGTCATCAGTGGGAGTCGGTGGAGAAGGTGTAGAGGTGGGAATTGAACCCACGACCTTCTGGCCTTAAGGCCAATGCTCAATTTTCAATGTCCCTAAATATTGAGGATATTTCATTCATTTCATTTCATTTATAGCTCTATACGCCGCCAAATAAGAAGTCAGTTAAGAATAGAACTCACTGAGCAACAGGCTTTTCGTTTTGGAACTCAGCACAAGTATCTGTTGTCTTCCGAACTTTGTGAATTTTAACTGTTTAAGTGTTGAGTCAATATAATTCAGTTCCAAATTGGTTAAAAAAAATAATCTGAAATTACACGTAATATTTTTTGTTGTTAAATTCAAATAAAAACCTTTTTTTTAAGTGCGCATCCCACTTTTTGACGAGCCAAAAGCAAAAGGACGGTCCGACACATTACAGTAACTCACTTTTTAATTCTTTGTTGAGGATGAATTCTATGAGGGCCTGACATCTAAGATAAGATTTCAGTGTCATTGTTGCGCACATTACAGTAGACTAAAAAGTAGGAAATATGAGCACTCAGATTGCACACAAACAGGATCTATTACTTAAGATAATAGATACGGCAATCAAAATAATAATTAATAAGATACTAAAATAGAATAAATTAACTCTGCAGCTATAATTGCAGTTGGTTCGGAGATTTTTACAGATGTATATCGTACATCAGCAGCAGAGAATATTACCAGAATAAACAATGGAAATAAAAACAGCAGGTAAAGTGACTAGAGAATGACAGAAATCTGGACGGCACATTCCCAGGTTTCACACACGGTGATGTTGTGTCCGCTCTATGTTGAAAAGATGTCGAATACAGTTCTTGCTTGTTCATGAGAAATTTTCCTTTCAGTCCTGTCTCCATTAGATTCATGTTTTGTGACTGACTTGGTGATTGTAATGGTAATCATACATCTGCTTCATTGTCCATCTGAGCTCCATCCGATGAGTTTTCCTGAAGACTGCAGTGCTTACATCATCAAGCGATACAAGGGACCCAGCTCCATGTGCAGCCGTACATGTCCACCTCCATGTTTACTGATGAGATCAAGTTTTAAATTTATCTTCCCATCTCTCCGGTACAAGTTTATGTCAGTCCCATTTGCCATAGGACGTTGTACCAGAACTGCAAAAGCTGTTGTTTGAACTCTAATCTGGGCATTCTGGGTGTGAGCAATGTTTATTTATATGGCACATTTTACAAACCAAGGTCATCCAAAGCGCTTTACAATGTTCAGAGTTCAGATAGTTTTCCATTCTCTCCACGCACGGTGATGACAGAAGCAAGATGCCGGACACACTGGTGCATCAAAAACCCCCAATCAACACCATCCATTCACTCACTCGTTACATGCACACCTATTGTACATGTTTTTAGTGGCAGGGGAAACCAGAGCACGCAGAGGAAACCTACGCAGACACAGAGAGAACATGCAAACACCACAAAGAAAGGCCTGGAGATGGAATCAAACCCAGAACCTTCTTGCTGTGAAACACAAGCTCAATATTTTTACAGCTTTTACAGCCTTTTTTTTCACTCCGGTGACAAATTCTGTTGATAGTTGACACAGATATGCCTATACATCCCAGAGAGTGTTTTTGATCTGCCCAACTATTCTGAAGGGTTTGAATTCAACAGGGTAGAATCGGTGCGTACTTTCTTTTTAAGATGGTTCCAAACAGTAAATCAGGACATAATGTTTCTTTCTGTCTAATGGGTTTGTTTTGATTGTTTAGCCTGAGGATGGCTTGCTTCACTTTGGGCGACAGGTCTTTCTATCTCATATACGTAGCACACTTGAAATGAACTCAAGATACAGTACATAGATCATAACGGAAAAACACACATCTGGCCCTGGAACAGCAAAACAGCCTTGGACTTTAAACTCACAAGTAAGAGGAAAAAATGCATGAAGTCGGTTAATCAAAGAGGGTTCGGGGTTGTGAAAGACTTTGAGAACAGTTGATTTAATAACAAAACGTTGTAGATCTTCTGTGTTGTTTTGAAGCCAATGTCTTCTTCACCTTGCACAACAGGAAATCTGACTCAACAGTGGCACATGCAGCAGTCTCCCGAGTAATCACATCAGTGGTAATTTCACTGAGATGAACTCTGC